TCTTACTAGGCTCCGAAAACGGGGCATTTACTTTACTTATTAGGGACTACCATGCTCTCAGCCCTCTGCTGGGCTCAGGGGGCAGACATGAAAATATAGCCACATTAGTAAGCAGCTTCCCCCGGTGGTGAAACAGACAAGTAAACAGCAGCACCTGCAGTGAACAGCAAGACCGTGCCCCACGGCAGTGCAAAGGCCAGCCCCTACGGCAGCCCACGGGGGTCAAGACAGCTTGGCCACCGGTGGAGACTGGTGAGAAGCATCCACCTCTCCCTCTTTGCCTGTGACAGCCGAAGGGGGCCGGATTTGGCCCACAGCTGTGATGCCCCTGCCCCTCGAGTCCCTCTGTTCACCCATGGCCCCTCGAGGAGGGACTGGGACAGCCTGCCTCAGTGTCTTTCCACCACCTCTAGGGCTACCCCTGGGCGGCTCTCTGGGCTGCTCTGAGAGGAGGTGGAGCTTAGGGTTGACTCCGGCACCCCTCCCCCAATCCACCGGCCTGGATGCTGCTGTCAGAGTACTCTAAAGTGGTCAAGACCAGGGAGGGATCTGACCCTTTAATAACATCCCTGACCTCCCCAAAACCCAATAAGTTGTGATGAACACAGCTAGCCCCTCTGAAGTTTCCCTGGTTTTGGCCTGCCATTTTTCATGGAGATTCGACAGCTGTCAATCAAATAGCTGGTAACTCCCAACATTCTGTATAAGCATGGCCAGGACAGCCTGGATGCCCCATACCCATTTGGGGAGTTGTCTATTGTGCTTGAATTTGAACTAAACTGCAGAATTGAGTTTGGACTAATCAGTTGGCTCACGTGGGAAGGCTTGAGTTGTGAACTGTGTGAACCAATCAGCAGGGCTGAACTTGGACCAATCATAGGCCTGCAGCTCCTATAAGTAACAGGCTCCTGGCTTAATCAGGTTGGTGTGGGTCTTTCTCCTTGTCATATTCCTATGCTGCAGAACAGGTCCTGTCCAAATAAAGCCTTGCTCTGCTGGTGCTGCAGATCTGCTTGGGATTTATTTCTCTGGTAATGTGGTCTTGGAAGGCCCCATAAATCTACTCAGGATTCTAATCCTTGGTAGTGTGGACTGAGCAGTCACATTAAAGAAAAAGGTGTAAATAGTAGGACTGTTAGCCCTGTAAAGCTCCAGAAACCAGAAGTAAACCAAGATCAGCAACAGAGAACAGCAGAATTGACTGATGGTGTCCTGCGTTAATAGGTGTCAGGTGTTGGCATTGGGCCCACTGGCAAAACTGTTCTCTGCTGATGCATGATTTCTTCCTGAATTAAGCAAAAGAACCCTCAACTGATTGGTAACAAGTTAACTGTTAGGGAGGACTTGGACCAGTGATGGGGAACCTTTAAAGAGCTTTCAGTGCTACAAACATCCTGCTGTGGCTTGGATGCCATAGGTTCACCACCACTGACTTAGACTATTCTTGGAGCACACCCCAAATTCAACAAGACAAAGAGATATGTGTATATAGGGCACACAACACCAAGAAAGGGGTCAGTGACAGGTGGTATCTTTGCCTCATTCATTACAGAGTTAAGGCCTTATTTGCTCAGAATCCTCTTGGTGTTTCCATGACTTGGAGAATAAGAACATTCTTTTCCTCTAAGTTTAGGGGAGAACTCCCTCCCCTGGAATGAGACCTTATAACCTATTTTCAGGGGGAGATCAACAAGTTTTTATGTCCCATTTAAGGGGAGAAGGGGTGAACCCAGGGCCTTATGCATGCTAAACACATGTTCTACCACTGAGCTACATCCTGGTCCTTTCCAATTTCTATAGCCTGCTTCTACTGTTTCTTCAAATGCCAAGGTGTCATATTTTGGGGTCAGTGTGTCCTGAATGCTGTCAAAAGCATGAAAAAGAGAGAACTTGGGACCTTGAAATAATTTTAAAAGCCTATTAACAGTTGTCAAACTTTCACCTTGCCTAAGAATCACCTTAGACCTTATTAATGATGCAAATTTCTGGCTCATACACCCCATGGCTTCTGATCCTATACCCTAGACAGTGCCCAAAACATGTAAGTCTATCTACCTATGTATCTATATTGTGATATTAGTGATGGAACCCAGGGCCTTCACACTGAACTACACCCTGAACCCTTTTAAAAAGTTTTTATTTTGAGACAAGACCTTGATAACTTGCTAAATTGCCCAGGCTGGGCTCGAATGTAGAATCTTCCTGCCTCAGCCTCCCAGAGTGCTGGAATTAAAGGCATGTGCCAACAAGCCTGGCTAAAAACCAAGGAATGCATTTTGAAAAGCACTGAAGTAAAAGAAATGAGTGAAGGCAGAAGATAATGTGGGTAAAAGAAGGAGGAGCAAGCCAGTCTGGCTCAGAAGTCTGAAGTGTTATACACCCTGATGACAAGGATATGGAGGATTATTTTTTGTTTAAGATTTCATGTATTTATTTATTTATTTAATATTTACTTATTTTTGATATTGGGGATTGAACTTGGGTCCTTGTGCTTGTAGGGGAGGCGGTGGAACCACTGAGCTAAATCCCCGACCCCTCACGTATTTATTGCTGAACTGACCTACTAGTGCAGAGCGTGGAAACAAAGAAAAAAATATTCCCAATGAAATATGTCTGGGTGTCCAGACAGTGGAGCCATTTCAGCCTGACATGGTAAGATGACAGTGGCCTTGATACCGCATACACATGTGTGCCAGCTCCTGCGCAATTCCTGAGAGACCTGGCTTCATTCTCCTCCAATGTCTCTGCTTGGAGTTGTGCATGTTTTCATTACCAGTTCTCGTCCAAAGCCACGGGAAATGGGACAGCTCTTGCTTCTTGGCCCCAAATCACTTGGTTCTGAAAGTCTTTGGTAAGACGTGGTGAGGAACAGAGGCAAGCACATGCCACGATGGAGGAGAAAAGGAGAGAGCGGTGGCAAGGATGGTAAGCAGAACAGTGAGTGAAATGACTACATAGATGTTTCAGAAAAATCATTTTAGCTCTAGTTTGCAGGGCAGAAAAGCTGTGAAACAGGATCGTGACCAAGGCGGTGAGGGGTAAAGATGGAGGCATGAAAATAATTTTGAAAGATATTTTGTGGGAAAGAACATCCCGTTTAATACTTAAATGTGGAGGTGGCAGAGAAGAGTGGATAGGAGCAGAGTAAGGTACCTTCTGAATTACTACAAAACTGGGAGAGGGGCCAGTAGATAAATCTAAAAATAAAAGGACAATTGTAGCAGATGTGATGCTGAGAAAACACAGTAAAAATATTACTGGTAAATTTACATTTTTTTAACTGGCCAGAAAAGAAAAAGAAAAGCATATTTGATTTAGCTTTCGGAACTTACCACATCAAGTCACCACTGAATGTCGTGACAGTTTCCTAAAACCAGGCATTTTAACCTCCAGTTGAACATTGGTCCCAAGAAAACACTCGTGTTTCAAGGTTTGTCTGATCATTCCTTTGGGTTCTGCAGGGTGCTGTGAAAGGGGGAAATTTTTCCTTGGTTATGCCTGGTAGTAGAAAGAAGAAGTGAATTCTCTGTCCTGGGCCAGGCCCTCAGGCTCCTTCCAGAACAATGAGAGCACAGTGTCAACACACTGCAGATCAGTATGCAGGTTTATAACACCCACAGACTACTTTTGTTTTGTTTTATTTTTTAAGTGTTAGTGATAGAACACAGGGCCTCGTGACTCCTAGGCAAGAGCTCTACCACTGAGCTACATCCTCAACCCTTTTAACTTTTTAAAATTTTGAGACAGTGTCTCACTAAATTGTCCAGGCTGGGTTTGCAATTGCTGCCTTCCTGCCTCACTGAGCCTGGCTGAACTGCCCACTTTCAACATTTGCATAGTGGCTTCTGTGCAAAGGTAAATGGATAGAATATGTTCATTTTAGAAACAGATGTTCAGACTGTGGGTGTAGCTCAGTGGTAGGATGTGTGGTTACACGTGCAAGACCCTGGGTTTAATTTCTGGCACTTAAAAACATGTACAGTATGTGAAAGAGTTTTTCAGAAAGAAAGGCTATTGTACCTGGAGGCTGGTAAAACTGTTTTCACAAGATCACCTAGGAAAGGAATGCTGGAATTCATAAGCCAGGCTTTCACGCCCAGCCACAGTCAGAGCCTCAACAGCAAACAGGGATGGGGAGAAATGATGGTTATAGAACAGTAATAACTGGCACAAAGAATGAAACACTAGGGATTGAAGGGGTCTCAGTTTTGCCTTTAGGAGTCAGACTAGTCATTCTAGTTTATGCAGTGATAGTAGCCTGCTCAGCCTGGAACAAAAGATCTTAAACTTTTGATCTTTGCACCTGAATGTCCCAGGTCTTGTCTACCAAGGGAAAATGACAACAATTTGCTCTCCCTCAAGAGCAAATTTGTGTTTGTTTATAGAAATCTTGAAAATCTGGGTTGCACCCCACCTCCTCCTATACCCTCATATTACTACACTCTCATATTCTTAGAAGCAAAAACCGTTAAGCCATTCATTCATTTATTTATTCATTTGAGATACCGGGGATTCAACCCAGGTCCTTTACACTAAACTACATCCCCAGCCCTATTTTATTTTATTTTATTTTATTTTGAGTCAAGTTCTCATCAATTTGCTAAGTTGTCCAGGCTGGGCTAAAACTTGCAATCCTCCTGCCTCAGTCTCCCTTGGCATCCAGAGCTTACCATCTAGAAGGATGAAACAAATCATGTACACAAAATTCCAAGAAATATGTAGCATCAGAACTTATTATTATTATTTTGGTGCTGGGAATTGAACCGAGGGCCTCACATATGCTAGGCAAGAGCTCAACCACTAAGCCCCTGACTCCAGAACTAAAAAAAGTTAAGTCTTACAGGAGTAGAGAGGATCATTGAGGTGATTAGGAAAGTACAGTATTCATGGAGGATTAGAACTGGACCTTGAATTGTACAGCGTCTGCTTAAGTTGAATTCAGGTATCTGTTTATATTTCTTTTCTATGGGTATATAATAAATCACCACAAACACATATAATAAATCAAAACAGCCTTTATTCACTAGCTCGTAATTCTGTGGGTCAGAAATGTGGGCAGGCTCAATTGGGCTCCTGTGTGGATGCTCACAAGGCTGTAATCAAGGTGTGGGGCAGACTCAATGCTTATGTGGAATCTTCCAGCTTTATTCAGGCTTTGGTAGAATCTGGTCTCCAGGCTGCTGTCACATTGGTTGGCTGTCATTTGGAGCCCACTGTCTGTACCTAGAAGACACTGACATTCCTTATGGCACGATCTCCTCCATCTGCAAACCCAGCAGTAGCCCACGGAGGCTGCCTTATACTTCAGACATTCTCTTGGCACAGGCCAGAGACAACTCCTTGCTTTTAAAGGAATGCCCATATCTTATGGCCAACTAACTTGAAACTGTAATTATGGCTGCAAAATTACTTCACAACACTGCCTAGATCCATGTTTCATTGAAAAACCAGAGAAGAGGAATCCTGGTGGCACCTTTAGAATCCTGCCTACCATATCATTATTCTATGAACTTATGGTGTTTGTCAATTTACTTCCCAATGAAATAGTGATCCTGCCTCACCCTTCCAAATGCTGAGATTACAACCATGCACCACCACTCCACTTAAAAGAGAGGCATTCTTTTAAATTTAGATTTTTTTCTGACCATGCATGTTCTCCATTTTCTTTCCCTTGGTTTATGTGATAAAGTCAGTAGCTGCTCATAAAAAAATCTTCCTTGTTCACAGCAATAAAATTGTGACTAGAAGCAGCTGCTCAGCATGAAAATAATTTCCCAACAGTCCCTACACCATGTGCCCAGGTGACTACTTTTTGTCAGCAAAATAGGAGGAGGAATGGTGTAAGTCAGTCCTGGGAGAAGCCATTTAAGAAAATGTCAGTACTTCCTTTCCCACCTTCCTCTACCTGGACACAGGGAGACATGAAGGCACTAGGGAAGCAGAACCTCAGACTGAGGAGCTCAGCCCATGAGTCTCTAGGTGGAAAAGAGCTGCTCCTCATCTGGAAATTCTCCCTGTTTCACAAGCAATAAACTTCTATTGGATTTGAGCCCTTGTACTTTAGAGCCTACTTGTTCTAGCAGTTAAGCCTCCTGACACTAGGCAGCTCATTTTCTGATTCTTTCCAGCATCTGATATTCATGTGGCCGCCACAACATATACTCCCAGAGAAGTCATCCAGAGGGGATGAGACCTGCATGCTCACTGGGGAAAATACCACCCAGTAGAGATTGGGAGGAATAGCAGTTTTCATCTCTGTGAGAAGAAATAACCTGAAGAAACTATGTATAGTCTTCAAAAGCGGAAGTAGTTAGCAATAGCCCTGATGCAATGTGGTTTGGGTTTTCATCAGTGTGTGGCTTATGGTCTAGAAGTCTTGCTGGATGGCCCATTTCTGCTTCATCAGAAAAAGTAGCAAGAAATTAACTTCTGTTCTACCTGAGGCTAGAGCAGGGCTACTTGACAACCACAATCTCCTCTAGTTTTGAGTTCTCTTAGGTGGGCCATCTTCCAGGAAGGGTTTTTCTGTCCACTCTTCCCCCTCACAAAGGGCTAGGTGGTTTATTTCAGCTCACAGTTTGTAGAGGTTTCAATCCATACTTGGCTGGCTCCAAGGCAAGGTGGCACGGTAGACAGGTATCACAGAGGAGAAACAGTTCATGGCAGATAGAAGACAGAAAGCAGAAGATATCTTTAATCCTAGCATTGCATCATGAATCACTCACACACTCTAGATCCAGCCACCTCTGAAAAAGCCCCACCTATGACTGAATGAGACTTTGGGGGAACATCTAAACACAAACCACAACAGTTGCCCAGACTGGCCTCGAACTTGAGATCCTCCTGTCTCAGCCTCTTGTGTAGCTGGGATTACAGGTGTGTGCCACTAAGCTCCAACTACCTTACCTCTAGTGTCTTTATCTCAAAGCTTCAGGACAAAGCCACACAAAAACAGTTAACATGGGCTGGGGATTTAGCTCAGTGGCACCATGCCTGCCTCGAAAGTGCAAGGTCCTGAGTTTGATCCTCCCGTACCGAAAAAAAAGGTTATCCTAACAGGATAGTAAGTAGAGTAGAAAAGAGCAAGTTTTGTTATTCTTTGCACGAAGTGCTACTGAGAAATATTTAATTTTAAAACAGATCAAAGCAGAACTAGATGTGGGGCTTCTGAGAAGCAGAGTTTGAAAACCTAGATCATTTCAAAGGTCTCTTTCACCTGTAAAGCCCTGTGTTTCTTTGTAAAGTAATTGTCCTGTGTTTTCTTGAATCTGTGACAGGATCTTTGTTCCATTTAAATGTGTCAAATAATGAATGGTGCTTGCATTAGCTGTGGATCTAATAACATTCTCTTCTGTTGACATAGCACTTTCCAGGATCATTTACAGAGCTAATGTGATTACCAGCATGGACAATGGAGGAAGAGAACTGGATTCAAGTCTTGACATTTCTATAAACTAGCTGTGTGAGTTGAGCAAGTTACCTACCCTCTCTTAGCCTCCATGTCCTCACTGTAGAAGGGAAGGAGAAGGCTTGCACTGCTGGCTGGTGGGAGAATAAAAAGGAGTATTGTACATGGAGTACTCAGCAAAAGTCCGCGTGGGTTATGTTCTCCATAAAAATTATCTATAATGCCTTTCACATTCATTATTTCATTTAATCCTTATGATTCAAGTATAATGACAGAAAAAAAATGAAACTCAGCAAGGTATGGTAGCACTTGCCTATAATCCTAGCCCTCAGGAGGCTGAAGCAGAAGGATCATGAGTTCAAGGGCAGCCTAGGCTACACAGTGACACCCAAAACCAAAACCAAACAAAAACATTGAAACTCAAATAAGTGAAATGACTTGCCAAAGTTTCGGGGTGAGGGCAGATCAGTGCTTTCCCACGTCATTCAAAGCATAAGTGAGAGGAAGAACCCAGAGAAGCTTGGGGAGGAGAAAACAAAAAGGAAGGGTCCAGGCTGGAAGTAATGGAAGACAGCCCAAGGATGAGATCCAGACACTGCAGAAGTGAGGAGGAGGATTCCAGAGACAAACTTCACTAACCTGTAATAGGAGTGAGACTGAAACATTGTCTAAGCCTGGCACAATCCAGGAGGCAACAATGACCTTTCACTGGTGGGACTCTCCAGTCCACATGGGGACTAGCCCTTCCTGCTTTGCCCCTCCTGCTTTGCCAGCTCCGGTCTCTGCACATGGTAGGTGCTCACTGCTCATTTGCTAAGTGAGCTGGGAATGAGGCTTGTTTTCATATTTTCTCCCTTCTCATAATTTGGAAGATTTTTCTTTGTCCTTAAAAATCACAAAGTACAAAGGATTTTGCTTTTTCCTCCCTCAAAATGAAGGGAAAAATTTTCCCTGACGACTCAATTTTGTATTAAGTAATTGATCGATGCTGACAGTCCATTTACTGTACTTTAAACAGCAGCTCTGGCTTCCCTTCCTCCCTCCTCCTCCTCCCCTCAACAGTGAAGTCATGGTGCCTAATTTAGGCCATCATCATAATTTCTACCCACAGCAGGCTGGTATCATCACAAGCAAGCATAGCCCCAGACTACTCTAAAGCAAAAAGTCAGGAGCCCAAGAAAGAATACGAAAAGAGTACGCTCATGTCTCCCTCCTTTCCCTGCCGGGTCACTGGTTTACTGTGCTAATGTGTAGATACAAGAATATCTGCAGTTTAGAAGTACAGTGCCAAGACCCAGACTGAAATTCCCTTCTATTTATGGCATATTTCAGTATGTAAAGTACAAGAGGAAATGCAGATGTTGGTCTCCTTCCCTTTAGCGCATTCTTCCATGTATCTGAGTTGTTATTCTGTAGAGAAAATTACAAAAACAAAGGACCAGCAGGGTTAAGTACTCTCGGAACAGCCTGTCCTCATTACTCGTGTGAAACCTCCACTGTGTCACGGGGACAGCATGTTAAATCAATAGAGACTTGAACTGTTAATTTCCAGAAAGGAAGAGATGATTGAACGCAAATAGTCTCTGTCACTTCTCTGCCCACAGGGAACAAAAGTCCCTTTAGTTTCAGGTCTTTTTACAATTAGGTGAGTTCCAGGAAGATCATGAACCACTTTACAAAATTTCCTAGTTTGTTGTGGGGGAGGGAAATGCTCTGTTGACACAAGGCTTCAGTTTCCATAAAGGAGCATTTTTAGTGCAAGATGCAGAGGGGTGTTGGTGGATGGACAGGGGGTGCACACAGGTAGGGAGCAGGAGACCTCTTGCCTTTTGTTATTTTGTATTTTGTCTGCTCTCCTACCTGAGGTCCCCTCTGCTCTGATGGTTAACAGGAGGAGATGCCATAGGTACCTCTTACTGGCTCCCGAACATCTTTGTTAGTTTTTGTTTTTGTTTTTCCCCCTTCTGGGAGGGGGCTGAGAAAGAGGCCGCTGGTATTGCAGGGGTTCGTGATCAATAACTTTTAGTCATGTTTGTATGATCAACTATCTGCAGGGTCTAGTGAGGAACGGAGTGATAAAAATCAAGGACAGCTTTTTACTGAGTCACTCCATAATGCCACTTCTTGCAGGATCTAGTCCTTGTGGACTAGAATAAGTATCATAATCCTGATGATCTTTTGAAAGAATGGTCATACAGATTGTAGAAATTCACCAAGCATAGAACCAGGCAATAAATGTCAGTTGAGGGGCCGGGGATTTAGCTCAGTGGTTTTGCTGCCTGCTGCATAAGCACAAGGACCGGAGTTCAATCCCTGGTACCAAAAAAAAAAAAAGAAAAGTCAGTTGAAAAAAAAAATATATATATATATATATATATTTGGGGGTTGAACCCAGGGTTTTGTGTAAGCTAGGCAAGGCCTCTACCACTAAGCTACAACCCTAGCCTCTGACTCTAATTTTTTGAGAATACTGGGGATTGAACCCAGGATTTTTACACTGAGCTACAAGCCCTCTTTTTGTTAGTTAGTTTGTTTATTTAAGATAGGATCTTGCTAAGCTGCTGAATTACGCGGGGTAGGCTCAAAGTTGCAATTCTCCTGCCTCAGCCTCTCAGGGTGCTGGAATAATAGCCATGCATGACCACTCCTGGCTCGAATTTTTAATTTTTATTTTCATTTATCTACCTTTGTATGGTGCTGGGGACCAAACCCAGGGCCTCATACATGCTGGGTGAGTGTTCTACCACTGAGCTACAACCCCATTCCTCCAATTTTTACTTTTTTTGTTTGTTTTGTTTTGTTTTGTTTTCCTTAAATTCTTTTATTGGTACATTTTAGGTATACAATATGTTTACATTTATCATTGGGTGCTTGTACCTTTACATGATGTATCTTGGTTCTTATTTGTTCCCCATTGCCTGTGAGCCCTTCACCCCCTCCACCCTTCCCTATTTACATAGACTTCATTTCCATATTTTTTCTTTTCTCATAACTTTTCCTTTCCCTTCTTTCCTTTCCCCTTCCCCTCCTGCTACTCCTACCCCTTTGGACCTTTTCTTCCTATTTCAAATTATCAGTTATTTGTTTTAATCATTTTAATCCTTAATTACACTTTCAGTTTCTCACACTAGAGAAACTATTCAATATTTATACATGTGTTCTATTTATTTCACTTAAGAGTATGGCCTCAATATGCATCCATTTAGCTATAAATGACTCCAGTTTCTCATTCTTTATGGCTGAGTAGTACTCCATTTTATAAAAAAAACCACATCTTCTTCGTCCAGTTTCCAGTTAATGGGCACTTGGGCTGTTTCCAAGCTTTAGCTATTACAAACTGTGCTGTTATAAACATGGGTGCACATATATCACCATGGTATGATTCTTTTAATTCTTTGGGGAAGATACCCAGCAGAGGAATAGCTGGGTCAAATGGGACCTCTAATCCTAGTTTTTTGTGGTATCTCCATATTGATTTCCACAGTGTTTGCACCAGTCTGCACTCCCACCAACAGTGGAGAAGGGTTCGTTTCTCCCCAAACCCCCACCAGCATTTGTTATTGGATGATTTCTTGATAGCATCCATTCTTTCTTAGGTGAGATGGAATCTGAGTGTTGTTTTCATATGCATCTCTTGAATGACCAGTGATGTTGAACATTTTTTCACATATTTATTTGCTGCTTTTACTTCTTTGTCTGAGAAATGTCTGTTCATTTCAGATGCCCATTTTGAATTAGGTCTTTGAATTTGGGGGGTCTGATTTTTTTCAGTTCTTTATATATTCTAGATAGTAGTCTTTTTTTTTTTTTTAATAATTTCAGATTATATTCTCAATGCTTTCAAAGCCCAATGGTGATTTTTAAAAAGAAATTAAACATGCTTTTACTGAATTTTAGAAAATCTATACAATTCAAGCTAATGAAATATTTTATTGTACATAATAGAGGTGGTGTTTAAAAAAAATTTCCAGGTCCAGATGTTTGCAGGAGTATGAGGAACAGATTTCACTCAAGTATAAGAAGCAAAATTCTATTGAATGAAACCATAAATCCACCCAACTCCTTATACTAACATTCACCACAGGTTTGAAATTCCTGTAGTATTAATATATAGATTTCTTAAAATATTACAGACATGCTTATGATGCATAGGAAGATGGAAAGACTTAAGACTGTGACTACACACCAT